CATTACATTGCTCATTAAATGGACATGCAGCACAGATGACTTTACAAAAAATATATATTATTCTCCTCTAAAATCTAAAAGTGTAATAGATTTGACAATGGAGAATATGGTCAACTTGTTTCTGCTGAAGATTCAAAGGAAATATGTTTTGTTTATCTAGTCGTGCAGTCATGTGGAAGTATTGAAACTAAAAATTTCATTCGAGGTCAAGCACAGGGCAACAAATGCAATTTCCCAAAACTGCATACACATCAGTTGGCATTTTCTTTGGAGGTCAAGATCCTGTGATTTTCATGTAAAGCAGAAGTATATGAAATATGCAGAAGTAAGCACACAAAGTTCTCAAGAATGTAAATTAAAAAATAAAAAAAAAAAGAAAAAGTTGTCAGAGATTATGGTAAACAGGTCATCAGAATAGTTTTTTTTACAGACACATTTTCCCTTGAATTGACAATTGCATTATGTTGTTATGCTTATTATGTTATGCTGCAACTTCATGCAGTTCAGACTTCGTGTTGAAATGTTTGTAGGTCCAACTAAGTGAAGCCCCTGTCAGAAATGCATCCCTTTCCATTAATCTAACAGGATCTGCACATGTCAGCTTCATGTCTAAATGAGCAACTTGGTCACTTTTCAATTAAAGTTCAAGAAATACTTTCACCAGGTTGGACCTAGTAACACTGACATATGACCTTCAACACTGCACAAGTCTGAGCTGCATGCAGTCACATTTACAGTTTGGCATGCACAAGTTTACGATGCTTAGCAAAGGATGTTGTGGCACACATATCAAACTCTGTCCTATCTCACATGTATGGCAAATATGTGTCTGAATGAAGCCATGAGGAACATTCACATAAAAATGACTTATACCTGAATGACAGAATGCCATCACTTTAACAGACTGCTGAAACCAGCAGTGTTATGTATCCCATGTCTGAAAAGGCAAAGATTGCTGTCACGACTTCCATGGAATGTGAAAAGGCTGCTCATTCAAATATGAAGCTATTTCTCTTTGCCGTTTGAATTCTTGTTCATAAAGGGTTGCACAAATATGGCTTCTGAGGTGGTTTTGAGAAATTATTGTCTTTTTTGTAGTTGAACTCTAAATGTAAAATGAAAATTGAGAAAGCGTACATATTAATGCAGCTCCACAAAAAGAAACGTTTAAGGCTTATTCTTTTAGTCATTCAGACATCTGTGCAACTTACATGTTTTGCCACAAAATGGTTTCTTCCTCTTTTATTAACCATGTTTTACCAATGTTGCAATATGGGTACTTCCTCATTCGGGATTAAGATAAAAGACTGATCAGACAACGGTGAAATTGATTGAATGCAGTCCGCACGATGCAGGAAATGGAGATGAGTGATCACAATAATGAGCCACCAAGAGACATGAAGAAGTGCAGTGGAGGTAAAAAACAAGCAGGTAATAACACATATCTTACTATATATGGTTTAGAATACAAATATAGGTGTACATATATACAATGATAACAATTGTTATTATTTCACATCACAGACTGAAAAGTGTTTGTGCTCTACCATTTAGTGTTTCAGCTGCACTAGTTGCATTGTCCCTCTGTTCTGTTTGTGAGTTTTTATAACTACAACCATATCTCAGTGGTTTGTGCAACATTTAGCAGTTTTTTGTTCATTTTACATCATCAAAATAAAATATTATCTATTTTTGCATTTATCTTACCAAATGGACATTTTAAAAC